AGTTAACGTGTGAAGCAGAAGAGGAAGAGAAAGAAGAAGAAGCAAGAGAAGCAGAAGGAGAGGGATCCTGATCTGGATTACTGTTGGCCACTATGGTGATGGTTCTTGAGGCTGAGCAACCCATGATTTCACAACGAACAAGGTGATGTGCCTTCCTTGCCTTTGCTTAATTGGTTTGCTTCCTCTCTCAAAAAAACACTTTCTATTTTTTCCTTCCCTCCTCACTCCAAACTTTTTGGCTTGTAAAAGTCTTTTTTGGAAGACCTTTGTGAAATAATGATTGTCCTATAGTAGAGATAGAGAGAGAGAGTGTGTCTTTTGGAGGCTTAGATTAGATGCAAAGGAAGTACATAGGGGAGGTATACTGTGGTGAGAGGTGGTAGAACGGTGCTTTCAAGTAGGTTGGAGGGGGAAGTTGACGAGCATCAATGCTGTGTACAATTGGGAGCATCCGATAGCAGTTAGGACCATTGTTTTTAAATTACTGATAAAGAATTGGTGAGGGACCATTTGTTTTAAGGACATAAGAAAGTGGTAAAAAAAGGGACACTGATCATTGGAAGATTCCTCTGTGTAATTTTGTAGGGTATACATTTTCGTATCAAAGTACTAAAGTTAAACTCTTTTTAGTATTGTAATCTATTTTCACATGTAAAAACAGAGTATTTGACTTTCCAGAACATGGTTAAATTGGATCTCCCAACCTCCCTTCCCAGCTCCTGTTTTTCAAATGTAACATTAAATCTAGCAACATCTTTTTGTTCAGTTTGAAAGTTTTAATAATGTGCATCGTTATTTGCAACTACCCAGCATTTAAATTCCTTTGAATTGTTGCAGAAAAAAAGAGGAAAAAGCGAAACCGACAAATGAATGGAACTTGAATCATTGGATTTTAGTAAAGATTTGTTTCGCCTAGTTAATAATTTAAAAAAAAAACGCTGGTTCTGGCTAAAGTTGTATGTTTCTTACGAGGAAATAGACAAATATAATAAATAACCAGTGATGTAGTCTAAAAGAAAGAAAAATTACATTACTGTTGAGTGTAATCACAAATCTATTGTACCTTTTGATATTGGGTATACTTCGCTTGTTTCAACATATGAATATAGTAAAATCATGCTCAGGTCCCATGTGAAGTGCTACATATTTCTTAATTTAATGCATGAACGAGTCACTATCAAGTGAAGAGAATCATAAAATATTCATCGGTGCTTAAATAAACAAGCTGTATATTATATTCATCAGCAGTTATTTTCATAGGTAGAGAAGATTGATTTGGTTGGACACATCTAACTTCTGCTGCTGAAACAAAAAAACAATAAAAAATCAAATTATAGAACTGATGATAGTGCTGGCAGTTAGAAGTTTCACCTTCAAAACCAATACATGATCACCAAGTCAATACAAGCAACCCAAAGGTTGGCCCGTTTAAAAGCTTAGGACCAAGGATTTCATAATCAGTCTTTTTCCTTTTCAACTTGAAGTTAATTTTTAATGAATTTCATGTTTTAAAACCAGGCCTGCTCAATTTTGTTTACTTTCATATTTAGATAAAAAAAAGTAAGAGTTCTTAATCTGTACAATTATTTATTTTTGAAATATTTTTGTTTTGATCGTATGTGATATTAAGATTGACAAAGTATGTCTATATATGATAGGAAGGTCGGTCATGTTTGATGACATAGCTAAAGTGGAATATGGACTAAAATAAACCCATTTAATGAATGAGGAGGGAATCATACATCTTTTATATGGATATATGAAAATGCATCACCAAAAAGAGAAAGAAGGGAGATGAAACAATGATGTTGATTTCTTCAGTAGCTAGAAAGGGGAGAAAATAGTTGAATGGTGATTGATACACAATCAGAAGATGCATGTCACTTATTTTCTGATACAAAAAAGGTGTGAAGGGAATAATGGAAAAAAAAAAGAAGAAATATTTTCTACTTATTTTCATTTTCCTGGGAAAGGGTTTACCTTGTTGAGTGGTGGCAGCTATGAATGTGCAAAGAATAGCTAAATTTGATGATAGATAAATGAGATAAAGGGATAAGATGATAACTGAGCCAGCTGTCATAATTAGTCATAACTATCAGTCAAAGTCCTTCTGCTTACACTTCTCATCCAATTAATAGTGAATGATAATAGTATTCATTAGCATGTAGGTTCCTTATTATAATCATCAACCATTAACATCATCAAAGCATATTGCTGGGTAAATCACATGTCATTTTAAAGGATTATTGGCTAGTTAATATCTAAATTGATGTTGTTATAAGTATTAACTGATAGAAAAAGTTAGTTAAAATATATGTTGCTACCTTTTTTCTAGACAGATCTAAAACGCTTGTTAGCCATAGATATTGTGTCATAAAGTGTAGAGGTACACCTTATGAAAAATGAAAGTTAAAATTGTGATAGAACATACATCAATGATTATAACCTGATACTACAATGTTTAAAGTAACAGGACATCCTTTGCACAAAGCAAATGCTTTTAGGCTAATGACAAAGTTGCTACCTGGCGTGGTAAGAAATGATGGAAGCAAACTGAAAAAATTTGAAGGAAATTGGCATTATTTCAACCTCAAAATAGATTGAAACAGACATTTCATAACTAAGGACCACATGGTAGCCAACCGGGGCAGGTGACACCGAGACCACAGGCCACAACTCCATTGTTCCCATGCGGCTCTTAGTTGCTAAAGTAGCTGTCTCATCTACTTTGTTGCTTTACTCATAACCCTTTTCAAATTTCGAAAGAAAGGTTCTAAAGTTACTACCTTCTTTGTATGGTCTAGAAAATGTTCAGCATGTGTTATTTGCCCGGTTATGTTAGTTGTCATCTGTAGTAGCTTTCAGATCACTAGTAAACTTCGAAAACAAAAGGGGGGACAGAGAAAATGCCTTTAGACTAGTATCTATCTACATTGTATTTCATCTCATAGACATTAATACAAACCTTGCTGAAATTGAAGATTGATCTTTATGGTACACTAGCAGAACTTCTGTAAGCTAAAATAAAGTAGTGCTATTCTGCAAAAATAAATTGCTGGTACTCATGAGCTATTTTGGGAAATTAGCAAACCTCAATAGCAATCCTATTACATAGTAACACAACTAAATCCGTTAGGCATTCAGGATATGTCATGACACTGATGAACCTGAGCAGACATGGCAGAGTTCTTTCATAGATTCCAAACTATCTGGTAAAATTATTAACCTTGACAGAGCATGAGTTTTCAATGAGCCAATCTGGTAGAGCTATTAATTTTGACAGCCCTTAAATTGATGTTTGGACAACTACTCAAGATTGTCAAGGTATTCTGCTAAAAGTTAAATATGGTCCAGTTCTTGACATGTAGTCTTTAAATTGAAAAGGGATCTTAATTGGTGCATGCTGTCAGACTGAAGGGCGAGATTATTACAATACACAATAGCAGAATATTGAAATGAATTTCCTACTCCTCCATACACATTTTAGAAAAGTTTAGCTTGATGACAAAACGTGAGTGCATAATTTACTGACATTTCTAATGCTCCTATCTTCACAACCAATACAGCAGCAGTAAGTAATTTTATCTCGCATTCCATTTGAATATGGAAAAGGGTTGTAATATTTTGAAATCCTAATACATAGCACCCCTTTTACTTTTTTACCTTTTGTCCTTAGTTTTTTTCTGATTTATTGCAGTTTGCTTTATGATACAGCAAAATTGCATATCGTCTTAGAGATTATACTCCATTTGTACAGTTTCAAAAAATAGACTACTGCGTCCTATCTATCCTTTCCCCTCTTAACACGTCATAGATTTGGGAGCGACTAAAGAAACAATATTGCGGCCATTGTAGGAGAAAATAAATAAAATTCTTCGAAATAATTAGTTACCTTCAAGTTTGGTCCTTTTCTGGTGTATTTAATATTATCTAGGGTATACAAACATGGCCTAACTAATGAAATGTGTATCAAATTACCAATAACAAAAGTCAGCAGAATGAACCACTTTATACATTTTGGTGAGAAGCACATCACATGGTAAAGTGGGCTGAACCACACCAAAGAAACAGAAAGAGCAATGACAAAGGTTCATGCTGCTTTCGATTTCATGTGGGCTTATATGCCTGAAAAGTTGAACCTCCTTTTCCTCCCCAAATTTTCAAAATACCTTTACCACATTCATTAGTTTCAATATCAGAAAAATTACGATTGGTTCTTGCACGTCTCATCTGTACTCTTGACTTTCTACGTGACAATGTTTGAGGATTTGTTCTGCTTTCTAAATAAGAAGTACAAAGCCAATCAAACAAGAGTACATTTGCAGAACATCCAGTCTATAACATTTTTCTTCATTTTCTTCTTGCAGTGTAATGTGGAACACAAGAAAAGCGGTTCTGCAAATTCAATTTCAAGTAACAATGAATGAAATGCAATTTTTTCTGATTTTCTTCTCCGAAGAATGAAATCCTACAAACTGCCTCGTTAAGTGGACCACCAGTTAAGCTTTAAAAACGAAAGAGAGGACACAAAATATCTTAAAGAGCGCTCTATTAGATGAACAACTTTATTGGATACTTTAAGAATAGTTCAACGTATCTCTACATTGTATGACTTTTAGTTTTGAAATTTCATGAAAAATAACAAATCTACCTCCCTAAATAATCAAACCTATGTAAGTTAAAAAGAAGCAAAAAGATCAGGGGGCTATATTTACCAACAGTCATCCAACAGAAATTTCTTTTACTTTACAAGAACTATATCTTTTGAGCAATATACATTTAGGAAAACTCAAAGAAGATATGTCATGAACATATATTGTGCCGAGCCAATGCTCCAACCTAGAGAGCAGACTATTCAGATAAACTTGTACTCCTATTTCTTAAATTCTGAAAGTGTTATATATCTCCTATTTCTTAAGAAGACACGTCAGTCGTGTCCTGCCAAACCAGAGCCAGTAATACCATATGGGGAGCAATTCATTCAAAAGTATCTCAACATATGAACAAGGAATTATTCTGTAGATTAATCTCCAGAAATACATTTCTTGTGGCATAGAAAACATGTAGTTCTATTCGTACACAGCCAGGTTTAGATCCACGACCAAAAACAAAGAAACTCAAAGATGAGCTTAAGAAATACAAATACCGGTCATTCTGTACAAAGGTTAAGGTTATCTCAGGAAACGAGGCAATACACATACTACGACACATAATCCCTTCCCGCCCATCTCTCCTCGTACTTACCAAATGAGTGGGTAGATGCAGGTATCCCAGTCAAGTGAAAGGGATCAGGTTTAATACCATATCTATGAGTGGTCTATGCTCAAGAATATCATCATGATTTTTCACAAAATCCGGTATTTCTATCTCTCCTTTCTTTATATCATCCCAGAGGTACTGAAGCCAGCTTACATACTTGATCTTCCAATATAATCTATACCAAGAACAAAGAGAACCAAAATCCAAATAGGATTAGTGTAACAAGTGATAGTGGGCCAACCAATGTATCAGACGAAAATCATAGATGTTGCAATACAACTATCACCCTACTTGCATTAGCTAAGTAAAATAAATAAATTTCAAATCACCTTTGCCAAAATATACAATAGGAATTTATATCGCTAGAGCCTTAATTTTTTTTTTCTTGAAAGCAAAGTATCCCCATAGCCAGAAACCATGAAACCAATCCCAAAGAGAGTAAAGTACAAATTAAGGTGCAACTCCTCTCTTCACACGTGCTGCTCTATTCACACAGCTAGGAATCAAACCCTTCTAATGCTTAAAGGCCTAAACTACTAGCACTTGAGCCACCCCTTGTGAGTCCTAGAGCTTTAATTTAATTATTAACTTTCTTTCTCTTCTCCATTTTTTCTCATTGTTTGAGACATAGAGTTGTGTTCTTATCCTCCTAGACAAAGCCAAACAACCTCACGGGGGAGCAAACATCAGAAATACATATATAAAAGATTAAACGAAAACAATAGTGAAATTTATATGTAAAAGAAGAGCAAATAAGAAGGTGGATTAACAGGGTTATTGCATAACAAAATTGAAAAAATAAATATACAAAGAATTAATTTTGTTTTAATTTAATTGGAAACAAAGTAAATTGTGTTTAATATTTTCTTGCCATTTTTTTTTTTCAAAATCTTGTCAAAAATACAGTTTTTAAACTTTTCTAAGATTACAAATTTATTTTTGTAACAAATTTGTAATAACGAGTGAAATCATATATAAAAGATTGCTACAAAACAATGTTATGTTTCTGATTTTATTACAAACTTAATTCAGTTTTCTAATTTTTTATTTAGTTAAAATTTATTCTTTTATTATTTTTTAGTTCAATTTAATCTTTTGTTCAAGATGAATAAGGAAGAACTGTCACAGGTTCAGGCCCGATTTTCTCTTCTTCCAAAACCCTAGGACACCAAAGGCTCCTCCTTCTTCCATCTCACGTAAGAGCAGCCTCTACCACTACGGCCACTGCAACATGACCGAGGTCACCGGCAATCTCGGCACCGCTGCTCTACCGCGCACCTTATCTCCCCAAATCGAGAAACTTTTCTCACTGCACATAAGCCAAATGCGAATTGGAGAAGACAGAGATACAATCTCCACCTTCGTTCGCCGTCACACCACCTGGTTTTTGGGTATTGTTCTGGTTGGTTATTTTTCGTGAATGCAGTGGAGCTGGAGAAAAGTAGGGCGTGTGAAGAAATGATGAGGTGTTGTGTTCTCTGTCTGCAGGTGAATGGTGTTGAGGAAGGAGGAAACAGTGATGTAGAGAAGATGAAATTAGACTGGTGTGGTGATGTTAAAATGGGGGTAATGACCGCAGGACCAAATTGAAACTTTTTAAAAAAAATATTGAATGACTAAACTAAAAAAGAATAATAAGGATCAAACTAGATGACTAAATCACTCGTTAAGTATGGAACTGAGTTACAAATTCAGGATCTAACCTATGGAGAGATCATTAACAAGCAAACAATGACCAATTAATACAGATAAACACAGGGAAGAGAAAGAGAGCACACCACCGCTTGGAGGGACCGCTGGTCCTCGTCGTCACTGTAGAGAAAGGGATGACGCCGCCGCTCGCTGGAGATGGGACTTCCTCATCGCCGGTGAAGTGAACGCCAAGATCATCACCGTGTGATCAATGGTCTGATGAGCCATTCTGGGATGGTTATATGGTTGTCTGACAGACTTATAATAAACATTCATTTTTACTTGTTCAAACATTTCATTTCTAGTCAAGACACCAATTTTATTTTATTTTTTCAAAATATATAATATATAATATCACTCTACTATCTCCTCTGTTTTAACTGACATGTTTTTAAAGCTGAATTTATTTAGTAGGAGAACATGAAAAATCTGAATTTAATGAAACTAAAATTTATTTCTTAAACATACATTTTAGAATAGGAAAACGATACTTAGACAACAAATTTTGACAACATTTCGACACAGCACACGTGTCAGCGTGTGAGAGGCCCACGTTTTGGTGAAAACTCTGCTGCAATCTGAGCAGTTCTGATGAAACCTCTTGAACTGCTGACGTGGCGAGACGGGCACGGTGCAGATTGGGGGCAGTGGCGTTTCAAATTGACAGGAGAAGGGAGCGGTCAGGGGTATTTGTTTGGCGTTTGAAATTTGAATTTCATTTTTGAACAATTTTAGAGAGAAGTGAAGGTTGAGAGAGAGAGTGAGAGCCCGAGAGAGATGGAGAAAGGGAGTTCGAGAGAGAGAGGTCCGACGGAAGTTGCTTGCCGGAATGCCGCCGGACAACGTTGAAGGCCGTGTCGAGCTATTCAAAACCCCTCCAGCCGGTTCGATTCACGGTCGCCGCAGCTCCGACGTTGTCCACGAAAGAAGGGCGCATCGTTTTTCTTTCCCTCCACCCCAGCGAACAGGGGCGCGTTCTGAAGGTCTCGATTCGTCCCACCTGCTTCCCTCCCTGTCCGGACCTTTTGCATTCACCCCGGAGGCATCGCCGAGTGTCGACTGTTCGGTGGAACGAAAAAGACGGGTTTTTTTTAGGTTTAGTTTCTTTTCCCATTTGGGGAAAGGGGTTTGGTGTTGGGTTTCTTTTCCCATTTTCATGTATTGAACTGAGTCTCTTTGCAATTCTAGTGATCTGTTTCTCTTCTCCCCACTCAGTTTTCTTATTCATTTATACGCTTTAAACTGTTCCTTGTACTGCAAGTTTTACTGTCATCATCTCTTTCATCACGGCTGCCATGGGAGGATTTTAATTGTTTCATTGCCTTGCTTTCACGTGGCTGGTTCCATTTTCAAGTTTGTGTTTTCTGGGTTTTTGCGTTTTTATGCTTAATTTTAAATTTTGTGCATGAAACGTAAGGTCCCTACTACTGCGTTTTATGTTTCATGCCAATTTTGATGTTTCCAATTCACTCTTTCACAATCCACACACCCACCGCCTAAGCGTTTGGTTTGCTGTTTTTCGACTGAGCACGGTGGCAGCAACTTGGCGGTTTTGGTGGAAGGTTCCGAGGAAGATTGATGACGGTTTGGACTGGTCACGGTGGAGAGTTAAGTGTTGGCAAGGGTGATTAAGGTGTTAGACGTAGTATTGAGGATGGAATGGTGGCGGAGGGGGCTTGGGATGATAACGGCTGTGACTCAAAGATGGGTTCCTGGTGGTCCGTGGAGGTGCAACCTTGTGGGCTGATGAGTGAAGTGGTCACTTTATTTGGCTGGGGGCATAGTGGTGATTTGAAGGGATTAATGGCCGTGAAAATGGTAATGATGTTGGTTTGTGGAGTTTCGTTGAATATGCCCACGTGACCCTTGCTGAGATTCCGTTCCCCAATTATTACCGAACGCCTCACATCAGTAACCAGAACCAAGAGCGAGCGTTAAAAAAAGCAATAATTCAAGACCATACTGACGAACGTTCGTCCTTATTATTTTGTCGCAACACCATACATGACGAACGATATCATAAAGAGACCGAACGCTCAATTACACAACCAAGACCAAACGTCCAGATGAGACCAATTGTAATCATTGTAAATAGATTAAGAAAACAATGTTTAATGTATCCGATTTAGTTCAATGAAATAAAATTTGAGTTTTGGTTTTGAATTGGTCTCATATTTTATTTATTCAATACCATTGTTATTATGAGTTGTGGGTTTCTGGATTTCAGAATGTGGTCATTTTTTGTGTCTCCTAAGTTGCAGGGTTGTTTGTAAGATGTTCGTGTTTTGAGTGGTCTTTCTGGGTAACATGGGTGACGAATGTCAAAACCAGTTTATTTGAAGGACAATTTGAGTGGGGGTGATGTGATGTGAGGCCAAGGAGTGTGGGGTGACCCCTCATCAGTTGGAGGAGCAAGGTATGCAAGGGATGAGTGAGGGTGTTGAAAAAAAAAGGGTCTGGTAATTCGTTTACCACAACCAATTTCTTGTAAACGTTACCCGAGAGTAAATTTTTTGATTTTGTAAGCAAAAGTCCAACAACAGGGTACTCTCATTCCACCATGTGAAAGGGGTCCCATTAAAAAAAAGTGACTTTTTATATTGCAATTCTTATTTCTGCAACCTGTCTGAGAGGCTGGTCTGGTGTTGCAGCAGCAAGTGGTGGAGAAGGGTGGGTCTGTATGTGAATGTAGGCCAGGAGGGTGGGGAGACCCCTCATGAGTTGGAGGAGCAAGCTTTGCAAGGAATGAGTGAGAATGCTGAAAAAAGGGGCTGGTAATCGTTTACAGGACCCCTGTAAACGATTACCCGAGAGGAATTGCCAATTTGTACAGAAACTCCAACAGTCCAGGTAACAACAGGTCACCATTGGGACAAAAGGTGCTTTTATGCACTTTTGCACTTTTCTTAGGCTATTCACCCATGTGTTTCAAACATGTGGGCGAGGGAGTCTTATTGATGTGATTATGTCCCAATTATGGAGGAAAGTGATTGTTTTGGGTTGGTGCAAACCCATGATTGGAGGAAAGAAACAATGTTTGGGACGTGTGAAATGAGGGCGAGAGGGGCGTTGGGTGGTGAGATAACATGCTGGGTGCAGACTTTTGACCTTTGCTGGGGCTTATTTTACTGACATAAGGCGGGGGGGTTTTCACACCGGTGAACCGGGCGGGTCGGGCAATGTATTATTCTTTTTTTATTAGAAACTAACCTCAACATCTTTCCAATGACTACTACTTTGTAATTTTTGGACATCTGGTTTGGTAAACAGTTTATTGTTTCAAGTTTAGCCGTTTCATATCTTTTTTGCCACTCTGACCTTTGCTTGTTCTTTTGGCTCATATCTTTCTCCACCGAACTCCAAAGAGTTGATTCTTGTTTTGTTTGGAAATCTTACTCAACGACCTTTCAAATTATGCCCCCTTAAATCAAGTTTTACACCTCTTTGACACTGTAATCGATACCAGACACTGGAACGATTAACCCGTAAGAAAATGGGATTTTGTACAGAAAGTCCAACACAGGTCACTCAGTCAGGTGAACAAGGGGTCACTCATTGGAAAAGAAGTGAGACTTTTAGGCACTTTGTCTGTGTCTTAAGGCTGGTCCTGTGTTTTCAGAGTGGATGGAAGTGATGTTTTGGCACCCATGATGGGGCAAAAAAACAATGTTATGAGGGTGAGCACTTTGGGTGAGATAACATGTGCTCTCAATGTTATTACATCTTCGGTGTTTTACTTCTGTGCAATTTATACTTTCAAACCTTTCGTTTCTATGCTTTTTGGAAACCGTTCGGTGTCTTTTTTGTCAATTGTTTTTAAAACTTCAATCAACTTTTAATTATTTATTTTCCTGTGCAAACAATCCAAAAAAAAACCCACCCCTCCTTTTTTTCGTTTGTCATCTATGACTTGAACCGCAATACTTCCTAGTCTAACTGTCATAATTCCAATCATCAATACCTCGTTAAAAATTGGATTTAGAATCTTAAACAAAAGATGAACATTGGGGCACCTATTGCTGCACCAAATTCAATAAACTGGCCGTAAAAGGTTATCATATGACGCTACAAAAGCATACATTAACATAATAATTACAATTTGCTTCTTAGGAGGACCACGAAAGTCACTATTGACTCGGTGTTCAGAATCAATATAACAATTCCAATCACAAAAATTGAGACAGTCGTAGCACACCACATATCTGCTCTAAATGGTTGATAGGACGACCGTCCTCTGCGCGCTGGACGACCTCTTCTCCTCTCTGCGCGCTGGCCGAGCGTCCCCTCTGGGCGACAAGCGTCTGGACGAGCGTCCTCCCGGGCTCGGCCAGCGTTCTCCGCTAGCGGGCGAGCGATTCATCCTCTCTCTGGACGAGCGTCCACTTACTGGACGAGCGTCCACTTGCTGGACGAGCCTCCTCTGCGCGCTTGACGAGCGTCCGCTGCGCGCTGGATGAGCGTCCCTCTGGGCGACAACCGTCTGTGCGAATGCGTTCCTTCTCCCTCCGCTAGCTGTGCGAGCATCCTCCGCTCTCTCCCGCGCCCCCTGAGCGTCACACGTAAAGATACAGTGAATCAAACAAGTCGCATTACCATTAGAGTCTCATCAGCCTATCTAAATGATTACATGTTTACACAATGCGTTCGTTCTTGTTATGGCTTTGTTCTAGTTTGGCGGGCGTCCCATGGTCAAAAACGTTCGGTCTTATTTTTGGTTTAGTCTTAAGGCGTTCTACCGTTCGGCCATGCAGGTTATCGTTCGTTCTTCAGTAACTGAGAGCGTTCGGTTATTTTGTTTTTAAATCAACGATCGCTCTTCATCTGGACGTTTGGTCTTGGTTGGGTGTAATTGAGCGTTCGGTCTCTTTATGATATCGTTCGTTCGTCATGTATGGTGTTGCGCTAGACGAAAGTTCCGGTCTTGTACTGTTTGATTGAACGTTCGGTCTCTTTAAGGACGAACGCCCCGATCACTAAACCAAAACGAACGAACGCTCGAAATTGCATATGCTTTTAACGCGCGCTCTTGGTTCTGTGTTACTGATTTGAGCGTTCGGTATGAAACGGAATCTCCAGCAAGGTCACGTTGCATATTCAAACCGAACTCACCACCAACATATTATCCATTTTCACGGCATAATCCTTCAATCACCACTCTGACCCCCGCCAAATACCGTGCCGACTTCACTCATCAGCCACCCAGGTGTGCCCTCCACGGACCACCCCACCCCGACACCTTAACCATC